AAAGATCCACGTCGTATTTTTGAAGGTGAAGCACTCTTGAGGAGGATGAACAGGTATGGTTTGCTGGATGAGAGCCAGAACAAACTCGATTATGTCTTGTCACTCACTGTTGAGAACTTCCTTGAGCGTCGTCTGCAAACCCTTGTCTTCAAGACTGGCATGGCTAAGTCAATCCACCATGCTAGAGTGCTCATTAGGCAAAGGCATATCAGGTAAAAATGGATTATCTTTTTTAGTTACAACTTTTTAAAATATAAGTTGCACTTTTACCCTTACTTTTGAGGTGTTTGCTAGCATTGCATTTTTTCAGTTGTTTAAATTTTGTCGAAAGACGTTTAGCACTTGTGTCTGATTTAGAATACCTATTTTGGCAGAAGTGCTTAGTAGATAGTTGTCCTCCTTGTATTCTTGGCTTTGTGAAGTATTTTTAGCTTTCCCTATGGGTTGGTCAGGCTCATGCAATGCTGATGTCAATGAGGAATCCCTTCTAAAAAAAATAAAATAAAGAGAAGTCTCATATTCTCACTGATATTTCTCAATAATAGAATAGGAATTTCTAGTCCAAATTGCAGAACAAGAAATACTTGTTAGCAAGTAATTCTGTGATCTTCTCTGTCAATAGTCAAAGTTGAGCAATATTAACACGGAGAGCTCTTTGTACTGCTAGTTTTCCAATATTGAATCTTGGTTGAACGTTAAACTGTGTTTGCAAACTAGGATGATTTTGGTAAGGATTTGTTTAATCTTTTCACATTGCTTTATTATAGGTCCTATTTAATCGTTTCATTTATAATCTTCATAGATGTGTTTCAGAGCTCTAAATTGTTAGGTTTCTAGGAGCCAAATGTTTATTTGTACATTTCACTTGTTATAAGACCTCCAAGTTCGCAGAAAGATGGTAGAGGTGTATTTTGCATTGATGGCTAAGCGTGGTGATAGATTAAAGGATCTTTGGAAGCTTGGGCGTAGCCTATCTTCTCTTAGCAGTACATATCAGATTCACACTTGGCAAAGATCATTATTTGGGTCCCCCCCCCCCCAAAAAAAAAAAA